CAAATTATCATTGGCAGTAATAACATGTTAACAGAGTTTATGTGGCATATGCTGTATAATCAAGGTAAAGTGATAACATTATTATGCTACAAAAGCTAAAGGTATGGGATAAAAAGCCAAAGATTCCTTAAAACAGTTGAAATTGACAAAAGACTGAGAATATAATCTTTATTAAGCAAAGATTACGATTGTGGAGGCATGTATCACGGAGAAGAATATATGAACGACATCCATTGATTGCTGGCAAGTGGTGCCTTCAAAGTATGGGCCTATGTTTTCAACACTTGTGACAGGCTGTTGGCAAATCATAACATGACATTATTTGCATAAAAATCATTTGCCAAATCTACACCTATATCATGTTGAAAAATTATTTATATGATACTGCAATACGGTCACTTGATATAACTTGTTCATGTGTCATAATATAGGTGGACGTCATGTTTAAGATTTTCATTTTTAAAGTACAGTAGTATTAATAAATATTCACTTATATTATAACAAGTGAACGAGCTATATAGGTGACCATCGTTCAAATCCTCACTGTAATCAATGTACAACCCCCTAAACATTTCGTCTTTTGTTCCGTCATTGATAAGCAACGTTATTTCACCATTGACGTGATTCTCACTTCTTCTCTGTTGGAGCTATTGCCCTCGGGCTATATTGTACTAGTTTTCACAGACTGGACACTATACTGGTTAAGCAAGCAGAAGTATTCGCTGGCTCGTCCTCCTAGTATCGAGCAATATCTCTTTGCTTCGATCAAATTAGAAATGTGACAAAAGGTGGTCGGAATCCATGACGCAGTACAATCTCATCAACTTTTGTCTAAAAGAGAAGCCCCTAAAGTATGCTGGAATTCAAAGGCTCCTTGGTATCCATAGCATGTCTGAGAAGTACTGGTACACGACTTTAGACGATGTCCCCCGTCAAAATGAAACAGCTTATCTTTGGGCAACTCAAAGATGCTCAAGCAGTCGTTGCTCGAAAAGAACACAATGCTAGTCAAGTGTTGACTTGGAGAGGGAATCATGTGCCGCAACAGAGAATTGTATCGAAAAATTCAACTGGAGATTGGTTGAAGTACTGTTTGACAAGAGCATTCTTCTGTGGCACATTGCAACAGATTTATGCTACTATAGCGATCTTGAAAAACATACGGAGCAAGTTGTTGTCGAACTATATGATGCAAATTCTCGTGATGCGCCTTTCATGTTGCCGAAGGGAATCGGGCAAATTAGGTTTTGAGATACTTGCACTAAGGCCACAAATTTTTGGGATTTAAATCGTTTCTTTGACATGTGGTGCTACAAATGGGTTTGATACAGAGAATACCACTTTTTTCACTAGTGCACATCTTGATACATGAAAAAAGCCGAGCCCAAATGGGTTTGAAAAACTTTACAATTGAAAATGCGCTTCTTTGACCAATTTTTCTACAAAGGGGGTTGTGCTTATTTGCCTCTGCATTCACCGCACAGTCACAGGGCCATCTTGTTTCAACTTGATGAGACTGCTTTCTATGTTTCGTAACACTGGTTTATAGCTGCAAAAGGTTTAGATGAAATAGACATTAGCATGGAACTTATAAGAAGAAAAAGGAAACAGAGAGAGAGAGAGATAATATATTACAGGTGTGCAAGCCCATTGTATGCTTGGGTGGATTGTTGGAGTCGTGCGGACAGCTGCAATACCTCGGCTGATAATGCCTCTGCTCTGCTCTGTTCTTTTGCAAGTTGATCCTACAAACCAAAGAAAAAGTAGCATTGATGTCAGACAGAGAAGTAACCAAGAAAAATTCATGACATCATCAATTTTACAAGCTTACCCCAAATAATGAAAGCTACAATTACTTGACGAGTTATATAAACTTCTAACATATTGGTCTTTCTCTACCTCTTCAAAATCGGCAACCACATAAAACAAAGAATATAAAAACCTTCTTCCGGATAATCCATGCTTGTTTGACAAGAAAATAAAAATAAAAATATTATGTTATTCAGAATTTTTTCATTAAAAAAATGTCTTGACACATCCTCATCTTGAATCTATAACAAAACAAAGCACCAAGGGAAGTTCAAAAATAAAACTTTTTTTCTCCTATTTTACTTCAAAACCTTATTGGTGAAAAAATTTGGCACACTAAGCACACAGACTAACCTTGATGGAGAGAACTTCAGTTCTATATGCAGCTGAACCAGTCTCATTATCCCTGCCTTCAAGGGATTCTGGCATA